TGTTCACCCTGTACACCTCAGACTTTCAGTTCCTTTCTGAGTCCTGCCACCTGCAGAAGTTTGCATGATTACAAATACCTTGGAGTACACCTGGATAACAAACTGGACTGGCCAAGAACACTGAGGCTGTTTACAAGAAGGGCCAGAGTCGTCTCTATTTCCTGAGGAGGCTCCGGTTATTCAACGTATGTAACATAATGCTGAGGATGTTCTACCAGTCGGTGGTAGCCAGTGCCATCTTCTTTGCTGTTGTGTGCTGGGGCAGCAGGCTGAGGGCAGCAGACACCAACAAGATCAGCGGGATCACCAGGAAGGCTGGCTCTGTCCTGGGGGTCCAACTGGACTCTTTGGTGGTGGTGTCTGAGAGGAGGATGCTGTGTAAACTGCACAGTATCCTGGTCAACAACGCTCACCCTCTCCACCAGGTGCTAACCTCGAGCAGAAGCACCTTCAGCAACAGACTCAATCCCCCCCCATGTAACACTGAACGCCAGAGGAAGTCTTTTCTTCCTGTGGCCATCAGACTATATAACTCATCTACCTCCGGCCGTGAGAGGGACAGTGGAGACACTGTGTCCTGAGCAAATGTCACTTTGTCACTTTATCATTTTTACCCATCATATCACTTCATCACTTTATTTTGTGTGTACTATGCTGATACAATTTTGTCACTTTATCAGTTTATCACTTTAAACAATTGCTCACTATATTTAGTTGTACTTACTTTATTTCAACTTATGCGGCTAACTGCACAGTGCGTATTGTTGTATATTAACTGTCATTTTTGTGGCATTGTTGCATTTAGTTACTGTTGCACTTTATTTTATGTTAGCTTTATCCTATTGTGTTTTGCACTTTGTTGCATTTTGTTACTTGTTTTATTTTTATGCTAGCTTGATTCTTGCTCTTGTATTACTTCTCCACTTTTGTATCACAATTGTTGCACAGCAGTGTCCCTCGGGATAAATAAAAAAAAAGCATGACATTTGTACCAAACAATGTAATCTCTGCAGTACTACAGTACTTCATTATAATGTTATTTGTTATTGCCAAGGTAGATGGTGGCAGCAGAACGTGGGTGGTTACCTTACCTGACTATTTTTAAAGGAACCTTTAAAAATAGTCAGTGAAAGCCAATTTAATCAAGTTAACCTCTCTTAGCTACAGAGCTAGTAATAAGCTAATGGTAGACTGCTAATGCTGCAATGTTTGTTAACCGTCCAGATGACTCACTTATCCAGGGTGCGTTTTCAGGTGCCTGATAAAGTTTGATGTGGTCGATGTGCCATCCTTTATATATTTATTTATGCCTTGTGTAAGGTCATGACAAATGGCACAGAAGATAGGTTTGCTCGCCAAGTTGTTGTTGCTGCAGCTGGTGTGCAACAGACGTGTAAGGTAATCCACAAAAAATACGGAAGGGAATGACATTCAGATAGCCAGACATCCCCTTAATGCACCAAATAAACAATATTTTTTTTATATTTTCATAATATATAAAAAGTCTCAAGCCAAATATCAGATTACTGTGTGACTCCAGTCCCCATCTCTGCCATCTGTATTTGGAGGATTTATGTGCATATACTGTAGACTTAAGTCTCCCTTCATTCAACAGCGCAGTGGAAGCAGAATTCATATCAAACTGTGACAGGGAATCTGACAGTAACTCAGTTTATATTTAGTTAACAGACTTCAGATTCAAATTAGGCAGTGCAACTTTAATATTGTTTCAATGTTCAGTATTTCTTCTGCCTTTGCAAGAGACAATTTCCTCATGCCACTTTCATGCCATTTTCATAGTGAAAGGTGAGGCATCTGTCTGCATCATCAGCTGCTACAGTGGATTTGCTCTTGTTCCTGACACCATGTGAGTGTGAAAATCCTAAATGATATGCCATGGAAAAACAACTATCAAATGGCAAGGCGGCTACATTGCAGATTTGAGACTTGGTAGAAATGCGGTTTTAACTCAGGGAGAAGGCTGCTCACTTTAGTGCTGTACTAACAGACACGAACACTATCCTCTGAGGGAACAGTCCATTATCGCTGGTGACAAACATGAAAAGCAAACGGTGAGGAGCTAGTCGGGGAAAATGCCACTCTGCAGGAAAAAACATTTAAGATTCTGACTGCCAGTGAGAATTTCTTTGGCTGCCCAAACATCCCCCCACATAGTCTCTCTTTTCATTAGCGCAACTCAGAGAAATGTCAAGTAAGATAACCCATTATCTTCCCCGTTGACAATAACACATACACACACACAACACACACACACACACACACACACACACACACACACACACACACACACATAAACACAGCATGTCAGGCTCCCTGGCTACAGAAGATGCCTGTGTATTACTTTGCAAGTGCTATTCTGTTGCTTCATTTGCCACTACTCTTGCCTCTGTTCATCAGCTCAGGCTTCGTAGTTAGGAGTGACTCCCTGTCTTTCTACTACTGGGGCAATTTCAAACCACATATATTGACAAATGTTTCATTATTTCCATCTCGTAAAACAGAAAAAAAAAACTACTGTTGACATTGTCTATGATAAAATCAGCCCTATCTAGAGTATTGTACTGTAGAAATATGACGGTTCTACAGTATATAGTGGCCCCCATGGAAGGCAGCCTGTGGAGTCTGTAGTTAAAAACAGCTCATTCTAAGATAACAAAAACACAATGATTCTTATATTCGTACACAAATGAAAACATACTTTCTACTTCTAAATGTTACACACTGGACCTTTAAACTTGACGTAGGCCTTTTTTCAGGTGGATAAAATGTGTTGTTCTGCAGCCCCTGTCCACAACAGTGCATTGCTCTGCTCCTGTGCAGTACTCCTGCCTGCTTCTCCAAACTGGGCTACGCTGACCACGGTACCTCATAAGTACCTCATACAAAACCACTTCAAAAAACCCAAACTATCCCTTTAAAAGGACATGACATAATAAGGCTTTTATCAACCTATATTAGCGACAAACTAATTTCAACATCGACCGGTTTCTCCCACAGATTGTGGTAGCTGTATTGAATACAGAAATAGAACAATATCATAGAGTCATTTAAACTGCTAAACAAGTGTCAAATTCTATTTATATCAAACACATAAAATTGAACTTGAACCCCAGAGGGGTGTTACTAAGTACACAGATATGGCCCCATCTGGTTGGTGGTTTTGTGTCAGTCATTAAATTTGTCCCTTTTGAATGGGATTACAGCTCACACTTCAAAGAAATGGTTTGTGGGGAGATCCTGATATTCAGGGTAAATATTGGGGAACCAGTAAATGGAGAAACGGAAATGTTGTGGACGGCTAAGGTGGTGGAGGGCCACTGGGCTGTTAGAACCAGAATCTGCTGGCTCTAGATTATAGGGAGGGAGAGAGGAACAGCTGGGCTGTAAGCATTCATGTCATGTTGGAGGCTGAACATCTGATCCTATAGAGAAGCAGCGTATGACTCACACTGCTGAATGCTCAGTGGGAAGCGCGGAGCCGACACAATTAGAACACAGAACACACGCATGCACACACACATGCAGAGCTTCTCTCCTCTATTCAGACTGGGGGGTGCCAGCACAACAGAACTGGCCAAACCAGCTGTGGCCTGCAGCCAAATCATGGTTGATTGCAGTTAGGTTCTGTCAGGCCACAGGTTGTGCAGCTTCAACTACTCAGATCCACCACGTTGCAAAGAAAACAAGGCCTCAGTCAATAGATTAAAGCCCAGCAGTATTCATCATAAATCCTCTCGTGGCGATGTTAACACAAAAGCTACAGATTCATATCCCGCTGGAGGTAAACTGTTGTGCACGTAGGCGAATATTCATGTGAAGCAAGTGTTGGAGGTGTGTGCTGCGTGGGAATGTCGACATCAGGCTGTGTGCGTGGGAGGGGTGGTTCAGTCACCTTTACGCTGAGGTAATGCTGTTACAGCCTGACACATTTGTTTTGTGAAATATCTGAATTACCTTTGACAATTGGCAAAGAAAATTATGAAACTTTACACATTAGTTAGAATTTATAGATTAATGACATAATAATAATGAACAAAATAGATATAGAAGAAATCTAGAAAGTATTTGTTAAGAAAAAAGCTCCTTATAATTCTGCATTAATATATGATTCTATACCTTCTACACACTCAAACAGTGAGGTATGAGAATATAAATAATGAACAAAAACTGCTTATGTTTATTATTTTTTTATGTTTCAAGCCATTTAAGATCATGGAATGCCTAAAACTCTGTACATAATTTGGGAAAAACATAAGAGTTGCGAGAGTTGAGGAAAGAAATAACTCTGTAAAGCCTCCATCCTGTGTAATTGTTCTCCAACTGCCTTCATCATTCTGGAACCAAAACACAGCAAATGCTGAGGATGACTAATTTTCACTCCTGCACAGGCAAAAATAGTTGAGGTTGACTCCTCATGACAAACTTTATGTCCATAGTCCACAAGATGATTAGTTAGCTATCTTGCTCACTGAGGTGATACGACTGAATGAAACACAACACGCAACCCCTGATGACAAAGTTCGGGGGGACCCATGGTCCAGTCAAGCACACTGAGGGGAAATGACACACAAAGTTTAAATTATTATTAGGTTATTAAAACCATGATGCAATGGTGACGGAGCAAAACCCAGAACAAAAAGCAGCTTCCAGCAATAGTCCCTGGCCACATTTTATACCAAAATCTAAAAATAACAACAGTTAAATTATGAAAAAGCAGTGAGATCTCCGCTTTTACAAACTCCACTTGTAACCTCTGCAGGCACATTAAAGACACTGACACAAAATCTAGTTAGCTAGTTAACATTAGCTGTGTAAAACATTAACAGAAATCACTGGTTTAAATCTACTGAATTTTGCTCTTCGTCTTACTACTTGAACAAACTAAACCATTCGAAATTCTGGATGGGACACTTCTCCATTACAGGAATTTAAGACCGGAAAAGAAATAAAATAGCAATACAGTAAACCTTGTGGCTTACCTCTCGGTGAATGATGCTTCCACATGATGTTGGCCTCAGGTCGACCGACCGCCAGGCACATCAGATTGACATTGCTGCCCTCGTTCACTGTGATGTCCTTCGATATGTTAGTGATCCTGGCGGGTACTGAGGGGAGAAAGAAAATCAAGATTGATGTTTTTAGCTTTATTAATGACACGTGAGCAAAGGGATCGCTATTCCACGTGATCAGAACAGCGATGAGGTTAAAAATAACCACCGGGTTAGGGACTCAATTAGCATGAAATTAGCTGACAAATTTGACAATTCTCTGGCTCGCTGTGGTGTTATACATGATTGATTTTCTTCATCGTGTATCTCTGCCACAGTGCTCATTAGACAAGCATCAGACTGATTTGGAGTAAGACGTAATTTCATCTCTCTGACTGGACCAGCTTGATCTGCTGTTTGTGTGTGTGTGTGTGTGTGTGTGTGTGTGTGCGAGTGTCTGTCTGGGTTCTTGATTAAGTATACCCTGTGAGATTGTAGCCTCAAATCAGGGGTCAGAAGTTATCCTTCTTCACTGTAATTAAACTCAGTCATGGCGACTTGAACTTCAAGATCATTAGTGCAACAGACGAGGCAGACTTTCATTGAGGAAAAGTCACATATCGTTTTCAGTGCAGATTAATATCGAATCTTACATTAGTTTTACTATTTATGAGAATGATTTCGCTTTTTTTCCTGAATAAAAACAACCTTATTTTGACTCCTGGGCCTGAAATGGGGTATTCCATTAGAACCAACCAGCAATAAGCACTATAGTTAATATAATTATTTGCACGTATACAAAGTGAAGGCAACTAAACTATAACAATAGCCACATAAGTTACGGTATTTTTTTACCATATGCTGCATACTGAATGTTTCATTTGTAATGCTGCTTGGGGTATTTTATTTCTGCCTGATAATGATATTGCCAATCAAATTCAATACTTTTGATGCGCACACATAAGTAGATAAATATACAAAATAAGAACAGCAGTTCTCACATTTATACATCCAAATATAGGAGAGTTCAATGAAGTCCTGAAGTACTGCTTCAATTGTTTGCTAACATCGTTCCACAGCAGCCACACTGACAAGCCTCATGAGCACAGACATCGACCCCATCCTTCAGCTGACAGATTAATCGGTCTATCATTACTAATTATAATGTTAAAGTTTGATCCTCAAAGTGGACTTCACTCAGTGGGATTAAGACATCTTATTTCCTGATTAATACGCTTTGAAATCATTTTAAACATATTGGTAAAACACATTAATATCACAACAGTGATAAAAAAATATTACAGTGGGAAATTCAAAATATTCTCAATATAAATAAAAAGTAATAAATAACATGGTCATGATGTGTGGTGTGTGCCAGGGGATCAGAGCTGGACTGACATGCTACTCTGCATCTCATTGACCTTTGAATTTACACATTCAATTAGCATGCATTGCTAACGCCATACTGATTGGTTGATTATTGGACACTGTGTGTGTGCAGCCTGCTTCTCTAAATGCCACCCAAATGTTGCTGTTATTTTATAGTAAATGTATACACAGTAAGACTCATTAATATGATTCAGGTAAACAAATGAAACTCTATTCCAATATTTACACACTGCTATATGTCCTCCATAGCAGCATCATAACTGTTGCCTTTTCAGATAAGTATGAAGTCCCACTTTAGGTAATTACTTGTAACTACTGCACCATTTCTCCTCAAACATTTACACACTAAGGATTACACGAACAGAACTGATGACAATTACACGCAACACTCATCCCATAAAATTACAAAGATCAGTGCTGAGTTCAGCCTTTAAAGCTGGCTGGATGTATTGCCTTCATCCCAACAACCTGCTAAACAGACACCGATAGCATCTATATACTCATGTGTTGTACTGTACATATGTAGTGTACGTACAAACCCACAATGTATACACAGAATAAGTAGACCAAACTGTGAACTGGTTAACAAACCATTATTTGTATGTCTTCTGCTAAAATTACCTTTTTTTACATACTTTTTCAACCCTAACCCTTCTTTTATTTGTAACCTGTTGGAAATTGGTTTCTTCTTAAATCAAGTGATGTTAAAATAGACAAAACTGCATATTGTGATGAACATTAATGAATTCATTTTTGTAAAATATTGTCCTCACAACCATGGGGCAGAGGTAATTTCCCAAGTCCATGAAAAGCTTTGGGAAGCTGCTCTTTACATATTTTCATTTCAACCTCAAAACTTTAGGTATAAATTTAATATCCATATTAATTTTTTAATGTTGGATTTTAAGGAGATGAGACCTAGAAATGCTTTGGGCCTTCAATTGCTGCCAGGTTTGAGAAGAAAAATGTTAATTATTAAATAGTGAAACAGTGTTTTACTGCCCTCTCTTTCTCTGCTCTGAACACAGCCAGAAACATTGATCACTGTACGCCCCAGTATCCTGGTTTTTAGTCTGTGGCTTCTTCTGATGTTTCTTCCATTTTTTCCCAGAGTTTACCCAAATAAAGAGACTAAGGAGAGGGAGTCTAAGGACAGGGAGTGTTGAACGTTGCACAGATTGAGACAAATTGTCATTTGTGATATATATTATATAATTATTTTTTTTAAATTTTTACTGCAAATGTATATCAGTTTGGTTATTGGTTTCCTTGATTACTAATAATTGGTATTTGTACCAGCCCTGAAAATCATTCGATCCCTGGCCACCGTATCTGGTTTCTATTACGACAGAGCTCTCTCTCTCTCTCTCTCTCTCACCCCAACTGGTCGAGACAGACGACCACCCACCTAGAGCCGGAGGATCTGTCCTAGGTTTCTGCCTTTTAACAGGCAGTTTTTCCTTGCCCTTGTCGCCAAGTGCTTGCTCATGGTGGTACTGTTGGGTCTCTGTAATTAATGTTAAAGAGTTCGGTCTAGACCTGCTCTATTTGAAAAGTGTCCTGAGATAACTTCTGTTATGAATTGGCGCTATACAAATAAAATTGAATTGAATTGAATTGAATTGAATTGATTCTCTGCCCGGATGGACCCAGGCCAAATCTCCAGCCGTAGGTCGGTTTCTTAAAACCAGGATCATTTCTTTTCCAGGTTTCTGAAACAAGGTGTCAAGGCAAACACACCTAGAGCAGCTACACTTCCTTTTCACTGCAGCAAGATGTAGAATCAAAGCACAGAAGGTGAGAAAAAACAAGATATTCAGTTGTTTTGTTAAATTACTCTTAGCGGAGCAGAAATTTGCTTTGCCTTTCTTCTCTTTCCTTCTATTAACTTTATTACTATGTTTAGTTTACCAACTACCTACAACAAAAAGTAACAGGCAAGTCATTACAAAGCAAGCTCTAATTTCAAAGGTTAGGCTTTGTTGTCTCCCTTTTTGCAAGCTCTCAGCACCTTTTGTACATGAAAAGTCAATAGGAAGTTTTCCAGGAAGTGGATACAAAATGTTCACTTTGGAAAAGTGCAGTGCGCTGCTTCTTTTCAGGCAAAGTGGTGAAAGTTGACAAAAGTTCAACAGTTTAGCAAATTGCACATGATGTGGCACACAGCTTTTTGTTGGTTTCCCACAAAGACACACTGATGTTACACAGCCATCTGGCTGCTTCCTCTGCCCCCATCATTTTCTCTTTACTGTGGGGGAATCAAAATACACAGAAGCCCAAGTCATTGGTGAATGCACCAAGTGTTTTTGTGTTTGGAACCTGAAAAATTTACCTAATGTCATAGGAAATATAATCTAACCTCCATTTTAAATATTATTATATACGAATGCGGCAGTATAACGGTTGATATAATGAAAAGAAACTTGCTAACATTGTGTAAGCCTGAGCAACGGTGATGTTATATATCATAGAGTATTCTGACCATGTGCTGTTGTATATGAGTACTTGTTTTCCAGCTTTGTCAGCTTACACTGCAAGGATAGTGGAGGGACTTCTGATTTTGGGGTTGTCTTGGTCTTGCAATTAAGCCTAAACAATAATGAAGAATTACAGGCTCAACACCTCTCCCTGCCGACAGCACAGAGAGGTGGTGTGATATTAGGAAACAGACGACAGTGAGGTCTTCTATGTTGCCCTCCTTTTACAGTGGCAGTGTTCCAGTAAAAATAAGTAGTACTTTAGGGTTCAACAAACCTAGCACCGTAGGATAACTGCAAAGCGATCCAATAGATTTCCTGCCAAACCTACGTGGTGGCTAAATGCAGTGAGGAAGCGTCCCCACAATCGTCTTCTGTTGACAGCAATTAGACTAACAGAACTAACACCACAGAACTAATGCAGTAATGATTCATTGAGGGTACAATGCAACATGTGGTGCCTTTAAGAGGCCCTAAATAGGGAGAGTTGAAGCGTACAGCAGTGGTTTGAGGACGCAGCAGGCACTACTTTCTCAGCTGCACTGACCTCCGGCAGAGATGAATGAACAAGCATCTGTGTGCAGAGCAGGTGACGGGTCCTCCAGCTTGATAATGCCAGTGGCCAGGTGATTAAAAACACAGCTCCCCTGCCACCAGGGCTGCTGGTGAATGTGACTGGGGGCCCAGGGACACGTCAGTCTTCATGTCGGCACAGCAAAGGTGTTGCAGTCAGTAATTAATTAGAAAATGGAATCAAGAGGCGGCCCAAAGAGGAAAAGGATGCTTTCTCTGGGTATTTGTTTAACATCAGGGCTCGACTGATACGATTTTATTTCTTTGTAATATATTTTTTTTTATGTCTACCGCCATTGTGCTGGTAAATGTGCTTCATTCACAGAGAATGGAGCCGATACAGGGCAGAAGTACAACAATGTGTCATTATCTGCAGGGCGCAAGAACATGATGGTATAGCAAGTATTGTTACGATGCCGTACATTGTCGCCTGTCGGAATATGAATTATACATTTATGGCAATTCTCCAGTCAGACAATGCAATGATGTCATGTGTGGGGGATCTTTTAGCTCCAACTTTTCCTCATGAGACTGAGAAAAGATTTCAAGAAACTGGGTTTGAAAGCTCAGGACAATTCAAAACAAGAAGCTTTTAAAGTAGGCTGAGCAACAGCATTCTGCTTTTCTCCTGAGAGTTCCCACTGCCCATAGCCACTGGTGACAGAGGTATTCTGAGGT